ACCTACCCGTCCGCGCGTAGCTGGAATAGTTTGTTAGGCTCCCAGTGAAAGGATAACAACAAAAAAAAGATTTATTAATATTTTTTCATCATCTATATATTAATACGTGAAGCAAAAGCCTTGTAGCCCTTTTTACGAAAATTGCGCGGACGGAGCAGTATGAAATTTACCACACTTATAGAGAATATAGAGAAGGAGTGCAGAATGCTAATTTTTGTTTTAAATTATGCATTAAAAATATATTAAATCAATTAAAAAAATATTACTCACACTACCTTGTTTTTGACACACATACATACGTATATACTATTTGTTTATTGTCAAATTTTTAATGATGCTTATGGTCTGTGGTCAAATTGAGAATAGGTTAATATTGTTTATCTTTAATATTATTTGTCTATATTGTGATCTCGGCGAAATCTGTGATTATTATATTATACTCTTTGACAATAGAACCATAATAATGTTCAAACTTATAATTTCATTATTTTTTTGCATTTTTTTTTTTTTCATTTTTTTTTGTTGAATTTCGACTACTGCCGGACCACTAGTTTTGTTTAATATGAGAAGGTCTAATAAACATTCAACGAGTGCTTCAGGAAAATATTCTTAATAATGTACGTCAAAGCATCGAAATTCGATCACAATCACAGACACCTGAAGATTAATAATTCATTTTGAACTGATAACTTGGAAGAGTAAGCCGCTTCGTCACGTAACGCGTTACGGCGCCTGTCTGTCTGTCGTCCCTTTCTCTCACGCACACGACAGCGGTACTAAGAACATATATAACGCCTAACTATTTAAATATCTTTTAAATTTTTTATGTTACACTAGCTGACCCGGCAGACTTCGTCGTGCATCAATCGATAAATAAAAGACCTAAGCTTTGTATAAAATAAACTTAAACGAACCCGTCCGACGGGGGGGGGGGGGGACACATCAAAGGAAAAACAAAATTTGGTATTTTTATTTAGTTTCGAGCATTTTCATATTTATCTACCTTTTAAACCTTCTCTGAACTTCCACAAGTAATTCAAGACCAAAATTAGCGAAATCGGTTCAGCCGTTCTCAAGTTTTAGCGAGACTAGCGAACAGCAATTCATTTTTATATATATAGATTTTCCTGCCATTATCATCTTTAGTATACATAAAATTGAGGTAATAACTTAAGCTTTTCTCAAACCATTTCAAAATTAAATAGTTCAACTTAGGTAAGTTTAAGTTTGCACTTCTGTCGGGCGTCCTGAGACGCATATGTTCGTTTTTTTGTATTGTTGTTGGCTTTGTGAAAATCTGTTTCCGAAACTAAAATGTAAAAACTCGTCAATACCTATTAAACGAGAACTATCGATAAAGACAAATCCTAGTGTGGTGGGTATTACTAGGTTTAAGGCTGTACAGGCTCTTCAGTCATAGTGCAAATATAATAGTTTCCTAGATATCATACTTTTACTGGTGGTAGGGCATCTTGTGAGTCCGCACGGGTAGGTACCACTACCCTACCTATTTCTGCCGTGAAACAGTAATGCGTTTCGGTTTGAAGGGTGGGACAGCCGCTGTAATTATACTTGAGACCTTAGAACTTATATCTCAAGGTGGGTGGCGCATTTACGTTGTAGATGTCTATGGGCTCCAGAAACCAATTAACACCAGGTGGGCTGTGAGCTCGTTCGAACTTTTCTTTATAGGGTGCTTATAACTAAATAAATCCTCGATTTTTCATTGCTCGAAATACGTTGTCATCCCGTTTGCTGAAGCCAATAAAAACCATCTTCGCTTTGAGAGACGCCTTGGAGCGCAAACAAAACACTTTTGTTGTACTAGAAATTCAAAGAGCATCGTCGTATAAAAATCGAAAAGCAAAAAAAAACTCTCAGCTTGAGAAATATCCTCGAATAAACGGAGCGAAATCGTCGTGGAAGCCTCGAGGGGAATCGGGGAGCACGTACTTTGACGTAATTTGCTTATTGAACAAAGCCCGCTGTTGGTCTGAACCGATTTGAACCGGTTTACATCGTTTTCTGCCGGCCCGAACCGGTTCGAACAGGTTTGAATTGCTTTCAATCGGTTTTGTGGGCCTCTTAAGAGGAGTTCGAATACAACACTGACATAAATAATTATAAATAACAATAAATATTCAAAATAACCTTATTTGTAAATTTGAAAGAAATTAACGTTAATTAAAAAGTTTATATTGTAATTTTATATCTTTTATCATATTACCAAGTGAACAAGTTTATTGTCCACCCAATGCTGATCGGTTTCCAAGGTCCATAGACATCACAGCGTGACATACGCAACTCACTATGAGATATGACGACTACCCCATTCTCTGTGGAAGACATGACTTCTTCGCGGCAGACATAGGCTAGGCGGTGCCTATCTGTATGAGCTCATAACACGCTCCATCAATAGTCACAATTCATTGCTTACATTTTGCTATAAAAGCGAATCGCAAAATAAACATTAAACAAAAATACCCTCATAAAATCACAGTACTAAGCCTCGATGCGATTGAAAGCTCACGTAACACTCTTAAGTTGTCTTACAATTAGTGTCAAATTTGTTTTCAATTCATTACGTTTGTTTGCTCACAAAACTGAGCATAAATGAGCATAAGAAAATCGTTTTCAAATATTAAATCAGTCATTTACGTCGCGAGTTACTTTCCTCGAACTGGTTTTTATTTATTTATTGCTTAGGTGGGTAGACGACCTCACGGCTCACCTGGCGTTAAGTGGATACCGGAGCCCATAGACATCTACAACGTGAATGCCGCCACCCACCTCGAGATATGAGTTCTAAGGTCTCAGCTGCCCCACCCTTCAAACTGAAACGCATTACTGCTTCACGGCAAAAATAGGCAGGGTGGTGGTACCTAGCCGTGCGGACTCACAAGACGTCCTACCAAAAAGAGTTGCTCATAAATTTAATTTAGATAATAAGTAAACACGCTTTTAGAGAATAATTTATATGAATCGAAAAGAACAAAAACGTAGAGTACTATATATTTACCGAACCTGTATAATCACTTAGCTAGTTCAGTGACGTCACATATTATGTCAGGAACGTCGCCTGGATTGCGTAAGCGCCTTCCAGCGCTATATATTAAAGCGTTGAGCGCTAAATAACTCCTTCCCATTAACTAATTGTAGTTATATATATATGTAATTAGTAGTTACTAGAGGTCCCGCAGTAGTGGAAATTCCACTATAATTTATTGGAATTGTAAGTTTGTACAATATTATGATTGTATTTTATACTTCTATAATAACAAATTTCGCCAAGACTACACTATAAAAATTTTAACAAAGACAAACCATATTCTATTCTCAATTTGACAACAAACGTCAAGAACAAAAGTTTGACAATAAATGTATGCGTGCGTGTGTGCGTCAAATACATGGTATGTAGTGTGTGTAATGTTTTCTTTATTGATTTAATGTATCTTTTATGCATTATTTAAAAAAAATATTAGCATTGTGCACTTCTTCTCTATATTATCTATAAGTGTGGAAATTTTCATACTCCTCCGTCCGCGCAATTTTCGTAAAAAGGAATACAAAGTTTTTGCTTCACGTATTAATATATAGATTCCAATCTCATATTTCATTTTCAACTTTACAAGTAGGTACAAGTTACAGCTCAATTACGCGATGATCAAGCCCAATTATTATTTTATTTTGAAACTTTGCTCTAATTTAGCGATTCGAATTATCAGAGGTAAATAACTCGGATTCGATTTTGGGTAACGATAAACGATTCTATGTCTCTCAGCCCTAGAGTCTATATTTGCGAACGGAGTTCCCGAAAATATTTTATCTATGACGTTTCTTTTATGGCGATTTAAATATATTACAATTATGTACCATGACATGGGGTAAAGGGGTAAAGGGGTACGTTCAAGACTCAACTTATTTCTTTGGTTGAGCAGTGACTATTTAATTGGAACTATTTTAAAATTCAATCTGAAGTTCGATTTTGTCCCTATTTACCCCATTTTACGGTATATATTCATTTTTGATGATATTACTTTTGTTAACTGTGTTTTCATACAATTATTTGTACTCTTATAGATTGAAGCGATATAAATACGTAAGTAGGTAACAAAGATGTTTAGACAAAAAAAAAATGGTATCATGAAGAATTAACGGTTGCCACAGCTAATATTAAATGTGTTTTAAACGTTAAACATGAAATTAAAAGATAAAATACGGTTAACAAAAATGAGAGAAAACAAACAAAGATCATAGATATAAAATACCGAATAGAACAACTGAATTGGAAATTGACTGGACATTTAATTCGAGATAAAACAAAAAAACGGGCCAAAGGAGTGAAAGAACGGTGTCCAAGATATAAAAAGCGAAATAGAGGAAGACAGCAACGTAGATGGGAAGATGACATTAAAAAAGGGGCAGGAACGACTTGAATGAGAAAAACGCATTATAGAATATTATGGAAAACACTTGGGGAGGCCTATGCTGTACAGCAAGACGATCAAGAAACTGGTGTCGAATAAAAAAACTAGTTATTAAGTGTATTAAAAATGTAACTTAAATTAGATTGTTAACAAAGGCTATAAATCTATATATATAAAAATCAATTGCTGTTCGCTAGTCTCGCTAAAACTCGAGAACAGCTAGACCGATTTGGCTAATGTTGGTCTTTAACTATTTGTGGAAGTCCAGAGAAGGTTTAAGGCTGATAAATATGAAAACGCTCGGAATTAAATAAAAATAATAATTTTGTTTTTCCTATGATGTATCCCCCGTCGGACGGATTCCTTTTTGTTTGTTTTAAGTTTATTTTATACAATAGTTTAGGTCTTTTATTTAGCGATTGAGGCACTATGAAGTCTGCCGAGTTAGCTAGTAAATGAATAAATATAATGTTAAATTGACTTGCTTGTTCTTGTGATTAGCTCGATGCAAATTAAAATCTGATGAAACATTCTAATTATGGTATGATTGAAGTTTTAATCTAACGTTCTTACCGTAGGCTGCATCTCTTCTGGCCGATTGCCAGCTGTTCTCAACCGTAGGTCGCTATTTATACGCGCTCAGGATATCGATTTTCCCCGGAACAGTTACGTAACTTACACGATACGGAAATGTTTTGCGCCCCTGACGCTCCGCTCTACTCATTAATAGGAGCACAAATCCAAAATCGATAATCGATAAACAAATTTACTATATCTGAATTCGTTTGTATGATTGATCGAATAATATCGATTTAGAATTAAAAATTAATTGTTTTTTTTTTATGAAATCCTAAATTTGAATATGGAAGCCGATAATTGACGAATTTAAGTCACTTTAGCTTTGTGCTCCGGAGTGATTGGTGTACTTGCTTGTATAAATTAATAGGGCACGTCTGAGCGCATTGGTGTCGCCGGCCCGACTGGATTTGGAAGGTTGTAGCGATTGCGCGGCTCTCAACGCATACTAATAAAGCGAATCGTCCCGATTCCTAGCAATTCAACCGTTTTCACATAGGAATACAGCACAAAATCGCTTGCGGTGTTAATTGAAGCCTTAGGACAACCTGTTTGCATAAGTGAACACCATTATGCAGTGGTACATAAAGTCTATATTCGCTTATAAAAATCGTATGAGAAAGTCGCGTTACGTAAGCATTGTTTCATCATCGACGGAAGAATAGACACGGCGGCGTCTATTTTTCATTAATTTGTCAAATGGTTTTTAATTCAATGGATTCATGACAGGTAGCAGTTCAACACGAAACTTAGAACAAACGCGAAATGATCATGATATCATATTTAATTTCCTGTTATCAAAACAAAATATATTAATATTTTTTTAATAAATCATCAAGAAATACTTCTTTTCTTAGGTGCAGACTTTCGATCGGTCAGAATCATGATGACGTCATTTGTTAGTACAAAACGGAATAATAGTGTTCCTAAAGAATATTAAGCTATACTCATATCGGCATTTCATTTAAGAGATCATTTTTTTATTTTAATTTTTTATTTATATACTAAATATATAGAAACAGAGTACAGAGGTAGTTTTTTTTTGTCCTACCTAAGATGATGGTCTAGAGAGACCATATCAGCGTAACGTTAACTAGTAAGTGAGCTCACGGGGCTCAAACCTGACGATGTTCCTAACACGAATCCTAGCAAGAGCCGTGCTTCGGAAGAATCTACCACCGGATCGTAAACGCAACTCACTGAGAAGATCCGGCGAGAAACTCAGTGGGATGTAGCTGTGGGTTAGTTTACTCGCCGAGCCCTTCATCGCGAGTGACGGGTACGACGAGAACGATGACCGGGAGAGGTAGTAATATCCATCCATTTAAATAAGAACATAGATGTCAATGAAATTGAGAGAGAGAGAGAGGGGGAGATTTTCTCTCTCTCACGAACTCACTCTCTCTCTCTCTCTCTCCCTGAGAGCATATTGTACACAAAATTAAAATTAATATTGAAAGTTCGGGTCAACAGGCATGCAAAGCCTACGACCCACGATCCGCCTGGTGAATGAGTAGTAGAGCAATAAATCTTAAGAAACGTGGCTGAAGTCTTCATTATTGTCTTCCCCAGTCTCCAAGTTGCAATGTATTAGTGCAAAAATAGTCAGAACAGTGATCCTTACCCGAATCCGAAAAAAATATTCAAGCCTTTTGCGTGTCGTAGCAATCCGTAGTGTAGTGCTACGCAGCTACGGTAATGTCGCTACGAATACAAATAGAATGTAGCATACTTTTTCGTAGCCATTAATTAGCGAAGCGTACATTCGAAGAATGGTAACTGTTTATAGTATTTTAATAGTTGCTAAATGTTAATCAGACCTTTCGTTTAGTTATGGGGTCAATGTACTCCATAGACGGTATAACGTAGCACTACAGTTTGAAAGATAACGTCAAAGTTTCCGTGAATTTCTTGATTGAAGAACGTCTACGGTCTACGTAGCAAATTTCGTAGCTGTTCGTAGCGCTAATGTTGTAATGCTATATTATTATCTAGCATATAATATAATTTAGTAACTGCTTAACAATTAGATGGGCTGATGATTGGATCTTGGAATCCTTAGACATTACGAACATATCGAGAGGTAAAAGGATATTTGGTTTGAGCGACATTTTGTTTTGTCGAAGTTTTTTTTATTTTTTTTTATTGCTTAGATAGGTAGACAAGCTCATAGCCCACCTGGTGTTAAGTGGTTACTGGAGCCCATAGGCATCTACAACGTAAATTCCACCACCCACCTTGAGATATGCGTTCTAAGGTCTCTGTATAGTTACAACGGCTGCCCCACCCTTCAAACCGAAACGCATTACTGCTTCACGGCAGAAATAGGCAGGGTGGTGGTACCTACCCGTGCGGACTCACAAGAGGTCCTACCACCAGGAGAACTATTAAAAGTTAAATTTTGGAAAAGATATCATAACAAAAAAAACTTCTTCAGCTATTGAACTTCAATTATAACATCCAATTATTGATACTAATACCAAATAAAACGGACCTTTAATTACAAAGATAAATGTTGCGTATTAAGTGAACTGCCGCTTAAACCAAATACTTGGCCTTTCACCTCTCGATAGGTGTGAACGTTCCGACTACGGTACTAATATTGAATTGGAGACTAAGCAGCTATTCTTTACTTGACGTTTTTACTTACTTAATATATGTTTCAATTAGGGCAGATGCAAATTTTGCTAGCTAGGGCTCAGGATAAATGGAAACTCTCCACCGAAATGCGAATCAAAACTGAATTTATTTATTATAACAATTAAAAGTGCACTTAGCTTTCTTGAGTTGATTCCGTCACTTCACTTCGAACAAAAATCTCTCCATATCGTCTATGTGACGTTTTCATAGTCCTTAAGACTATGTCAATTATGCTCCAAAACATTCTAGAAATGTTTCAGTTGTTTCAAACTCTATCTAATTCAAATTTCTTATTTAATAAGTGTCTTATTACGTATTGTCATAAACCACTGGTATCCTTCGTGCTTCCTTACAAAAAAACTCTATAATCAGTAAAAATCAGATAAGTAGATTGTAACGGACGTGACGTCAGCTGTCATGCCCTGCCGCCAGCCAAGCCGCCAAGCCATGTTAACACGCCCCCTTCCGCCACTGCCGCTAGCCAAAGCCAACGAAGGGGGGATTAGTGTTAATAAAACAAGCCATGCCGGCCATTTCTACCTGCTTTTCTGCTTTCTCGCAAAAATAAAAGAACTTGTCGTTACGCTGCTGTATTTTATTGTCACATCATTTGCAACAAGATACTAAGGATAACTTAACTGTGCTCTGCGTCAACCCTGTCCCGCCGTTTAAATAGCCCCGACTGGGCTCCGGCCCGGTCTGAGGTAGGGCGCCGGTTGTGAGCGGCAGGAGTTTTTAGTGAGGTTCAACTCCCACTTACCCCAGCTGCCGCGCGGGTGGGGATCCGGCGATTTTCTCCAGTGTAAAAAAAAAAGAAAGGATAATTTAACTGAGTATGTCAAGTATCTATATCCTCCAACAGGTAGCATTACAACCGTACCTAGTAACATCGAGAGACATCTTTTGGAAAATAACGGCACTATTAGGCATAAACAATTACATAATTATCTTTGTAATTAAAGGTGCGCATTATTTGGTATCAGCATCAACAGTTTCGATGTTTTTAATTGAAATTCAATGAAGTTTACGCCGTTCAAATAACAGAAGAAGATCCTTTGCTATGATATTGTTTTCAAATTTTAAACTTTAAATGGCTGTAAAGTAACAAAATATCGCTTGAACCAAATAGCCTTTCACCCCTGGATATATAAGTTTTTAACTTCAAACGAAATTCTATAAACTTTAATTTCAATTTTATAAACATCAAATTGAATTTGTTTTCCAAAGCTAGATTTATTTATTGTTCTTTTTTAAATAGAGAAAACTAAATACAAAAAAAGGACAAAGAGAACGCAAAAATATACGACTTGAAGATATTTAATTGACATAACTATAAATAACACGGAGACACTATAAATAACAGGAGAAATGGTGTAAAACTATAGTGTACTGGTATCCGAGAGACAGAAAAAGAAACCGAGGTAGACCATTTAGGAGATGGGTGGACGACATTAAGGCAGTTGCGGGAAGCACATGGACCAGAACAGCTGAAAATAGAAGCTTATGGAGGCAGTTGGAGGAGGCCTATGTCTATAATAGATAAGCAGACAATAACTAATAATAAAATAGGTAAAAAAAAAAAAAAACTAACAAAAAAAAATTTTTTTAATTAATATTAGTACCACTTGTACATGTAAAAAAAAAAAAAAAGTCTGAATAAAGGCTTTATTATTATTATAAATAACACGTCATTACGGATCCTCCCGATCCAATAACGGTGCTTTTAGGTACCTCAAGCACCGGTCATCCATCACGTCGCTTACTATGAAGGGCTCGATGAGTAAATTAACCCACAGACACAGCCCCTGAGATTCTCGCCGGATCTTCTCAGTTGGTCGCGTTTCCGATCCGGTGGTAGATTCTGCGAAGCACTGCTCTTGCTAGGGCTCGTGTTAGCAACGTAGTCAGGTTTGAACCCCGTGAGCTCAGCTATTTGTTAGGGTAACGCTAAAATAGCCTCTCAAGGCCATCAGCTTAGGTAGGAAAAAAAGGTATAAATCAGTGCTCTCCTACACGGCTGACGTTTCAGAGCCTTCGATTCGCCTCGAAGGCTACGTCGGCCGGATCCTTGGGGTGAGCTGTGCCGTCGGGTTTTGGTGTTGACCGCGGTAATCCCCTTACCTGACCCGCATTCTGACCTTGAACTTGGGATCGGACGCTTGAGCGAAGAGTGCAGGGGAGTCGTTTAGTGGGTAGGGCCCTGAAAACATCCTTGGGACCGTGGTCTCGCAGTCGCAGACCAGTCCTACATACCCCGCGCGCCCCCTAAAGTACTCCCTTACACATATATACATACATACGTATAATATATATGTATATAGCTCGCTCTCTTTCTCGTATTTATATCAGTCCGAAAATGACAGGTGAGAGATGTGGCCATTGCTTGAGACTTACTGTATCTATTTATATATCCGAACTTACAGTAGTACTAAAATAGAATTTTAATTAATTTACATACAATAGCGTTTCTCTGGTTTCGTATTCATAAAAATAATGCTTAGTTAAAATGTTTTATTGAATCTAGACGTGCCAACGGACTCATAAACGTAAATCACAATGTGGATACCGCCATTCATCTTAGCACGTGAGGTCGAAACGGCAATTTTAGTATAACGATCGTCCCAACCTTGAAACCGAAACGCAGGGCTGCTTCATCCTAGAAATCAGGGCCTTGAAACTGGGATAGTTTAAGAGAAATATTTTTTCTGTATGGAAACTAGCGACATCTTGTAGGGGATGTCACTAAACTTATATGTTGTTAAAGTAAGTTAAAGCATTTAGTTATTGTGCAACTAAACACAGAAAATAATTAATAAATTATACAAGTCTTTAAGGTATTTGTTGTAAAAAAATTATAAAATCCTTTATTAAAAATACGGAATTCCGTACAAAAAAAAATATTATTGCTCGCACCGCATTAGTATTTACATATCATCCTGTTAGAAATGACGAAAACTTCCTACTTGTTAACTTACCAATAAGAGTATTTATTGTGTGTGTAACAGATTTTTTTACGGAGATCACGAGGATATTCAATGGAAAATGTGTCATTATGCAGATTGAAATAGAGAGCATGCCGGAGAATATAATACCTAATGCTATTGTAGCAAAATTCGGCAATACAATTTTAATTTTATCAAAAGAATGTATAAATGCGAATAACGTAACATTAAATGAAAATCTGTTAACCATTAACTCAAACGAAGAAATTTTATCCACGAAAACGACAAAAAACTCATTTGTTTTAAGCGATTCTGAATTCACTCAACTTGTACATGTCAGATTATATACTGTACCTGAAACATAGATGTCGCTACCATTAATCCTTCAACCGTTACCTACCTAACCCCTAAACAAGCCGATGATACTTAGCCGGTAAACGTTATTAGGTTTTCAATTACTGCTCATAGATGGCGGTATATTTAAATAAATCCTTGAATACAATTGCAGCGAAAGGCATCCCTCAAATCTGTAGTCATAGATGAATGATAGATTGTGAATGCATAATACTTTGAAAAGGCCGCCCAGCTTGAGATGTGAGGTTGAAAGTCTCAATTGTATGGTAAACTGTCGACTCTGCCTATCGGACCGGAACACTTTTATTTTATTGCCCTTGTAGGCGACGAGCACACGGCCCACCTGCTGGTGAGTGGTTACCGTCGCCCATGGACTTCAGCAATGCCAGGGGCAGAGCCAAGCCGCTGCCTACCGCAAAACATACAAACCTACAAACAAATCTACATGTCGAACATACAACACAATGTCGTACCTATTCTCAAAATACGCCATACCACAAGTAAAAAACGCGATGGCGTTTGTGTGTTTTGAAATATCGAAGCATGGAAATGATCAAGAGCTACGCCGCTTTGCAGGAAAATTATATTAACAAAAAAAACCTATCTGAATTAAATAAGTCTAATTTGACAGATTGATTTTTCACAAATCTAATGTCAACCATTCAAGTACATAAGTCTGCTTCTTAGAATTTTGTCTAAATAATTGTCTAATTAAAGTAGTTAATTAATAGTTAAGAAATGCACGTTGTCGGGCTAAATATTAATTTTATATTTGTCTTCTTAATTGTTTTAACCATAAGTTCTTCTCTCAGTGAAGGTTAGTTTGGTGATTTTTTTTTACTTTCGATACACAAATTGATCTGACAAAAAAGCGTATTAATAAAATATCGTTTTCCTTATTTACTGACGTGGTGGTGCAAAAATTAGCGTCTCTGACAGTTGCACCAAGGGTCGTGGTTTCGCTTCTTACATGGGGCAAATATTGTTTGCTTTTGCTGGGTTTTTATTATCTATATATCTACATATTTAAATACATATAACTATATTCATCAATCTCTGATACCTATAACACAGGGAATCTTAATTTGGGGCCGGATCACCGTGCGTGATTTGTTCGCAGCTTTAAAAAAAGCCGTCATTTATAAATTTGACCAAGGCTGATACCTCATTACCAGATTCCAATAATACTGTCCTTTATTAAATTAAACGTATTATAAATGTCGCCGCCCAGGATTGAATTGTAAGATCGATGTTTGGTTTTGGAATAACAACTAGCCTCCTCATATTAAAGAAAGACTGGTTTGTGACACAGTGCCTAACAAACAGGCAACCGATACTCAAACAGCAAAGCAGTAAGCTACTGATCTATGAATAGCAATTAAAATACCCTTAACCCCCTATTTGCGGCTCTCCTCCGAGAACAAGTGTTCGTAACGGTCCCTATACGTTTATTTCATTATTATTTTTATTGCATAGTTGTGTGGACGAGCTCACAGCCCACCTGGTGTTAAGTGGTTACCGGAGCCCATAGACGTAAATACCGCCACCCACCTCGAGATATAAGTTCTAAGATCTCAGTATAGTTACAACGGCTGCCCCACCCTTCAAACCGAAACGCATTAGTGCGTCACGGCAGAAATAGGCAGGATGGTGGTACCTACCCGTGCGGACGCACAAGAGGTCCTACCACCAGTAATAATAATATACGAATCCCGAAGGCAGGTACTAATGTTTCTGATGAAATACGTACTCGACAAGTGCTGTCGAATAACTTCTTGGGTTAAGCCCGCACGGGTAGGTACCGCAATCCTGCGTATTTCGGCCGTGATGCAGTAATGCGTTTCGAGGTGAAGGGCGGGGAAGACATTGTATTGTATAGAAACTGAAACTTAGAACTCAAACCTCCAATAACCATTTAAGACCAGGTCAGCCGTGAGTTCGTCCACCAATGTCATAAGTAAAAAAGTTCAAACGTTAGGAATACATATTTTGTTTTGTCCATAGTAACCTAATTGCTTTACCAATTTTTTTTTTTTTTATTACTTAGATGGGTGGACGAGCTCACAGCCCACCTGGTGTTCAGTGGTTACTGGAGCCCATAGACATCCACAGCGTAAATGCGCCACCCACCTTGAGATACAAGTTCTAAGGTCTCAAGTACAGTTACGACGGCTGCCCCACCCTTCAAACCGAAACGCATTACTGCTTCACGGCAGAAATAGGCAGGGTGGTGGTACCCACCCGCGCGGACTCACAAGAGGTCCTACCACCAGTGTAAGTTTTATTATACATATTTCTTTTCCAATCCTAAATAAAATTATCTATATTTGACTTTATAGAAATTGACCCGTTCACCAATGAATCGGACGCAGTTACTGAAATTGCAAAGCACATTGAAGACATTGAGAAATTATCAAAAGCCGCTGCAAAAGCAAATGATGGTGTCCAAATACCAATTCAAGACACGAATATAATTTACGAGGGAATAATTCAAGTTATACAGACTATCATAGAATCGTTTAAAGATAAAATATACGCGAACGAATTCCTAAAATCGAGAGGCATCGAAAGGGTAATCGTACCAAATCTAATGATGCCTCATTCAGAACTGAAGACTAGTATACTTGTATTAGTTAAAATACTCTTTGAAGTCACTCCTACTGCTACCAAAGCTGCCGTTCCAATAGCTTTAGTCGATCGACTATTAGATATTTTTGAGAATGACGAGAATTTAGCATTGAAAGCGCACTCTGTAGACATTTTGGCATTGTGGCTTCCGAAAAATCCACTGTTACAGGCCAGGGTCATGAAGCTGAAAGGTTTGGAGCCATTTTACAATCAAATAACAAAACTGAATGGCTCAATCGTCAAAACATTACTAGAGTTGTTTAATGTAATATTAAAAGAACATATCCGTGCTAGGGATGGGAAAATACAGAAGGGTAAAAACGATAAATCGAGATTGTATCAGAGAATTGGCCTAATCGAAAGAATGTCAACGCCACCTGTGTGTATTGGATTGGTTCATGCTATAGATATTATTTGGAACTACAATATCAAAGATGATAACAATAGTATATTGAATTTGTTACTAGAGCTGACGAATAATTTGAGACAGTTTTGTTTGAAGGTTCTGAGAGGGAAAACTAAAGCTATTGAAATATACGACTTGTTATTTAAGTTTGTAACTGATCCTGGTAATGAAGACTTGTTCTTGAAGAGTGATATCAACGTGACTGCGACTAGAGTGGTCTTGGGAGGTTTTTTGAAGGACTTGAAAATACGAGATGAACTTTAATTTTGGTTTTCAGTTCACATTAAGAAATTTGTTTTCTTTAATGTCGTTTTTTTTCACTACCCATAGTTTCGCTGTTATTTTTTTTAAATACAACAATGTATTTGTGTGTGGAAACTTTATAGAAAAACGAAGTTTGAAAGATGAAGCAGCCGTCATATGTTGCAATTGAGACTTCGATCTCATCTCTCAAGGTAGCTGGTGGAGTTGACTCAGTGATATCTATGGATCCGCGTAGCCACTGAAGAACAAACAAAGCCACGTTTTATTATGTTGAATGATTCTCTTTCGTACTAAAATGATTAAGGTCAATCATTGCACCACATGGTCTTACTAAATGCACTTTCGAAAAAATTAAATTCTACATATGGATGTTCTTGGCAATGTCTTATTTTAGTCGTGAATTAATTTACAGTCATATTTCTCACCAAAAACAAATAATTTAATTTTCTCGCGTATTTTACTAAATTGGCCAAAATATTAAGAACACATAAAAACGTAAAATTCGCGGTAAGATTAAATTATAGTGTGTACAATACAAACAACTTACAAATACAATACATATATTGTATTTCCATAGGCTATAAAGTAGATTAGGAACTGCTTCCTTTGCTTCAGGAACATTCCAACTATGGGTGGAACCATTAGCGCCCTACGTGTGGTCCCCAATCAAACCGCAATGCCACGCACTATTGTGCAACTTGCATTAATTGAAAAGGAGGGGGTCCGTCATTATATTTCCAAAAAGACGTAAAACCACATCGAAATACGGGTTATCCTACGCAGATTTTCATACTTTGAAGGCGCACTATTATAGTTGTACTCACGTTCTGGTAATATTTGGTCTACCACAATCACAGATTTTACCTACACGATATCCGATAACCACAATGACGTTTTGTGTAAACTCGATTATGTCAAATTGATTTACGGTCGCCATTTTGATTTCAAACAATTGAATAATATGTTGCTAAGTTACTTTCGTTAATTTGTATTTTTTTAAAGTTTATTAATAATTTGATGCTTATTTTAAAGGGCTGTTTCTTTTCGTTATTATTACTAAAACTGGGTTCCAACAATAATTGGGACAGGTTGCGATCAAATAACATTTAAAATGTAAATCTTTATTTCTATATTATGTGTCTACGTGCAGAAGATGGTATACCCTTAAGCAGATTCCCGAGTCTACAGAAGCAATTGGAAGGCCTCGGTTGCATGCATATGGCGTATACCGTCCTAACATTCATACTGGGTCCCGTAATGTCCATATAAATTCAGAGTTTGGTAATATAATGTTGCGTGCTCAGATCGCGTCGGGACACGAATAAAACCTTGTAGAGTCTTTTAAATTAAATACGCTTGTCTATATAGTATTTATATGTATTAGTGTCTTAATCAGTTTTATAAAAACATATAAAATTTCTCCTCTCTACTTTTTCTCATTGACATCTTTCATTATTTGTTTTCGCTTTTGATTTTCTCCAAGCAGGTTGAAGTACAATGACTATTAAAGTAGATACTATAATCCGTATATGATGTTATACCTTCATCAAAGAAGATAATGTTATAATTATGATGATGGATGTTATATCTTCATCATGGGACTCACCGCTGGTAGAGCGTCTTGTGAGCCCGCACGGGTAGGTGCCACCACCCTGCCTTTTTCTGCCATAAAACAGTAATGCGTTTGCATTTGAAGTTTGAGGCGGACGTTGCACTATAAAAACTGAAACTTAGAACTCAAGTCTCAGGCTTACGTTATTGATGTCCACGGGCACTAGTTATCACTTTACATATAGGCCGTGAATTCGTCAACCCCTCAACAACCGAAACGCATTAGTGCTTCACGTCAGAAATAGGCTCGTACGTAACCATCCAGGTATATTTATTACATACATACAACCATACCACTTTAAAAAAAACTACGTGGGAGTCGAGCGCGCTCATAAAAAGTAATCACTCGATTACGCAATCACAAATAATCGAATCATATCGATCATCTTTTTACGTCCCTACTGTCAAATGTCAAAAAATGCGCACACAACCTGCCGGAACGAATTCATAATACTCACTCGAGTACTCGCTGTGGGAATTTTTTGAGTATTTTTCTTTTTTGGTTGCCTTCAATGAGCATTGTTGCGTAATGACCACGGTAAATAATTTTATTTTTATTGTCAACGTAGAAATTTGTAGTTTAGTAGTAATAGGGTGACCAATGTTTTGGTAAGGATATCGAAAATCAGGTAGTTTCGATGCGATAATGATTCGAAGCGATTTTTGCGGAAAATCGAGAAAAAATCATTCGTAATTAGTTTGTAATGAATTTCGTGTCTGGCAAATAATAAAAAATATATATATAAATAATAATTAACCCAACAATATATAACTTGGAAATTGTCAATGACAATGGCCAAAATAAATCTAGTTCTTATTTTCCCGTTTATTGTTTGACGTTTTTTTGAAAGGTGTGTGAAAACACCGTTTTTCTATTTTTCTTTTTTATTTGCTTAGATGGGTGGACGAGCTTACGGCCCACCTGGTGTTAGTGGTTACCGTAGCCCATAGACATCTATAACGTAAATGTCACCACCCACCTTGAGACATGAGTTGTAAGCTAAGTTGTAAGTAATTACGCAACTTATAATTTTACGGGTTTGATTTGTTCATAACAAAACTCCTCAATAATTAAGTAAAGGCTCGTATCAACCTCAAAAACCTAAGAACATACCAAAAGTCACAAAATTTTTATGCCGCTATTGCAGTCGTATGTATGTTGTTGTTTTCTTTTATTACTGTGTCCTTACTAACTTATTTTTAAGAAATAACTGTTACTAATATTTATATGGATCATTATCTGAAATAAAGAATTTAATAAATAAATAAAAATATAATAAATTTTTATTAAGTTTTTCTATTTCGCCAAGCACAAGTGACCACGCTGATCACGACGATATTAACCTCACGTCTTTTAAAAATAGTCACACCACCGTAACTCGGTTGTATCCGATATTTTCTATATACAATATGGTCACACTACACTTCACAAACGACTAATCTCAGGTAGCTATGACACTGTATAATGCGGACTGCAGCGGAGGCGTGACACCTGACTAAAGTTCCCATGGGATGCAGACAATTGACATTTCAAAGGCTAATTTATTGCACTGAAACTTCACTTGGACGTTTCAATGGAGTTTATATTAATTAGTATAGCAAGCGGTACTCGTAGTACAAGATTTTAGGTAATTGTTGTTTGTTTTTTTCCCTACCTATTCAGTGGTAGCCTCTGTCCGATGATTTGCAAGCGAAGTAAATTGTCAATTAGAAATAAGGTGACACTCTACAAAACTTGCATACGCCCCGTCATGACCTAACTTGAAACCCCTTCAAATCATTCAATCCTGTTTTTACAGGATGGCCGTCGGACCCCCGTGGTTCGTCAGGAACATCGACCACCGCGACGACCTGGACCTAGACTCCATCAGTAGTAAGTCGGCATCAATGCACCATTTCGAGAAAGCGGCCGGACACGAGAACCCTCTCATTGTGGCCGCCGGTAACTACATTCCCGATCCTGCGGACCGAGTGGTAAACAGTCAACGTCGCCCAAAACACGTCATTTCGGATCCTCCCGATCCACTAACGATGCTTCTAGGTACCTCAAGCACCGCTCATCGTTCTCGTCGAACCCGTCGAACTTGCGACGAAGGGCTCGGCGAGTAAATTAGCACAGCCTACTGAGTTTCTCGCTGGATCTTCCGATCCGGTGGTAGATTCTGCGAAGTACGGCTCTTGCTAGGGTTAGTGTTAGCAACGTCGTCAGGTTTGAGCCCCGTGAGCTCATCTACTTGTTAGTTTACGCTGACATAGCCTCTTAAGGCTTAGGTAGGAATAAAAAAAAAAAAATTCAAAGAACATTCAAGCTTACTGTTGAATTTTGAATTTTAAATTTGTTAAGATGAAATAGCTATATTATATATAAAAGTTTCTTGATTACAACAAAATCTTGACTACTACAAGTTCGATTTTCATAATCGCTATTGTCAGTTTAATAGTCGGTGAGAAACTCAAAAGGTTTTTTGCGGGAATGCGAGGAGTGAAGTTGTGTGAATAATTTTATTTTGTTAATTTAGGATTTCTTCGGGTTTAGCCCTGTAATATTATATTAAAGACCGCTTATTATCCGTGAAAGTGCAGAAGATTAGTGTTCCTCCGAAAACCCTACTGAAGTATTAATAAATTCTTACCATTTTTCTTATCTCATCTTGATTCATTTCATTTCAATTCTTATTATTTTTACATAATTTTAAATTACATTTACACCATTACGATTTCAGATCAATCAAATTCATCTCATTTGGTATATAACAGAATACATGTATTGTAATTAAAAATTCTTAATTTCTAAAATTCTAAATTCTTAAACACTATATACTGGCAACAATGGCATTGGCGAGAAGACAATTGCCATATTAAAAAAAGGCGAAGGAGAAACGATTCATTGACAAATATCACGAACAACAAATGTTTACATTGGCGTGGTCATTAATTTTCAGTTTTTTTTTCCTCCGTTACGAGTTCCCACCTGCTCTTGGCTAGCGTAGTATTATATGACGAAGCTATACAAAGGGTTCCGTATACATTAAAAAGTCTCGTTATTTATACGATCGAGATTTTCTAAAATCTTCAAAGCTCACTAGATTTACGAACTTTAAGCTTTCACGGTTTCAAACGATATTATTTACACATTTTCTTACCACATTTAATGTCTTTAGGCCCGCAATTTTTTAGTCTACCGGTAACTAACTAATTAAACGTGGTAAGTTAAAAAAAATTTTTTTTTTAAACAGTATTGAAGTAAAAACTTTTTTAATGTTCTTGTCATTTGAAAATCGATACAGAGAAAAAGCAAGACTAAAAATGACATCCACGTCCATCCACAATATAGGAATAAGCCTGCGAGAGAATGAAAAAGAATACTTTTGAAAGTTTCACTTCTATCT